AAATACACACAGTCGAGCACATGTGAATTAACCAAGTCCTCCTATATCCATCTATATCTAACTTTTTCTCGCAATGAGTACATTTATCATATAGAAAAAGCCAGTTCGTCTTCTTGACTTAGGGTTAATTTGAGGCTTGCAAGAATGAGCCCCAGCACTGACAATGTTCGCCACATGATGAACTAAAGCTCAGCCCATCTTCGTCCGAGACGTTGAATGATGTCCCGTGGAATGCATCAATATGAACGTCGTATGCCAAATGGCTGCGGAAAAACGGGCGTTAGCAGACGTCTTTTGGTGAGATTGACCTAGGAATCTCTTCATTATATACTTCCATACGGATTGAAAGTCTTCACATAAATTGATTTCTCAATGCATTTCATTCTGGCCTACTTCCCAACAGACTGTTCTCATTTGAGCTTGATTCCACCACTGCATGAGTAACCCGGAAAGACTCGAACTATGTAGTTGAACACACCATCCCCAAGCCACACATTCTCAAGGGGGTACATTGGGAAAATCAAGTACTCTCGTCAATGTATAACGAGCCCAATGATAATTAGTGTACTTCGAGAGCAGACTTTACAAAAGCGTCCAGGGAGAAGAAGTATTTGGCCGAGTGTTAGCATCCAAAGTGTCCGAAATCCAGCAAATCTGTACGTTGCATCATTAAGGTCTAGGAGCAGATTGAGCGCAAACTGATTGCGCGCTCCAGGGCGCCTGGAGCTGTGCCATCCCACGGCTTGACAGTCGTCTATTTTCCCCTACACACGCATCAGAATGGGCCACGGCATTCTATTTCCAGCATCTTCACTTCTCTACCATCGAGACGTAGGATCACTCTCGCAGGGATGCTACTGTGTCTGACCGTAGAGCCGTCGTGCGTGCATCCAGTCGCGATCCTGTCGCGTAAATAAGCCCAGTCGCCAGGCGACATCGTGGACGGGCAAATTATACGACTTTTTTCGTATGTAAGTAGAGTTCCGAGACCACGTTTGAATGACAGCAGCCATGATCTTTCAAGACTGTTGAGGCAATATCGATTTTAGACGAATAAAGAGTCGCCTTTATGCACGAAAGCAAGATGGACCAATGGAAACGTTCTTTGCAGTCTCGCTATTAGTCCATTTTGGCGGACCTATCACTTCATCAAAAGGTCGGCTCCTCTCCACCAATCAGGGTCCAGAAGTGGCAGGAACACGCACATACTTATTTGGCCCACCTTGTTCATTCACTAGCCCAGACTGCACCTGCTCGGCACAGTCTACATTCACCCATCCACTCTAAACTCCCGTAAGCGATGGCGACCACTTTTAAGTTTAAGAAGAAGAACTTCATCTCTTTAAATGAGCGAGTCCGGTTCATTCGCATCCTCTTCCGCTGGCAGGGCTCAATCTGGCGCCTACTCTGGGTCGATCTGCTGATCTTCATGATCTTCTACATTTTGATCACCCTGAGCTACAGATTCGTGTTTGTGCACTTCCCTAGCCTTAAACTGGGATTTGAGGGTTTCGTCCGGTACACGGACAAAATTGCCGCCATCGCCCCCGTCTCCTTCCTCCTGGGCTTCTTTGTCTCCACAATCCTGACTCGCTGGTGGTCCTTCGTGGCCAACATTCCTTGGATGTCGTCACCATCGTTTCTGATCCACGCTCTTGTCGGCTCAGACGAACAGGCTTTCGACACTACCGGGTTCCGGATACGTCGTACGCTTGTGCGCTACATGAACTTGGCCTGGATCCTGGCGATGATGAAGTTGAGCTGGAAGATGAAGTCGCGTTTCCGGCCCCTGAAGCCGGTGAAATTTTCAGACACGGATGTGAAACCGCGTCGTGTAAGCACATCTCATGTGATCGATTTGATCAACAACGACGTCTCGGTGAAGAAGCAATTCGGCCAGCTCATCACGACTGAAGAAGCGGCCATATTTCTGGAACTCGAGAAGGAGGAGGGTAAGAGAGTCCACAAAGAGACTAAGTCTAGAGTACTCCTTGTTGACAAGGCGTACAATCAGTAAAGATGGCCAGCCTTGACAACAACGACATAATATAATTTGTAGTCAAGCTGGAATCCTGTCAGTAGTACTTACTAAACCTTGTTGACCGGGGTCAGATGTCACGTTATGCTTTAATTAAATTGACATATCATTGCTTATTTCATACATATCCGCCCACGCATGAGGGCACCTAAGCACACACATGCGTACAGGTGTTTCTATATTGGCATATAACTTGAAGTGACTAACTCACTCATGTGAAGCGTTTTATCCGAACATAGGAATGCCGGCTCATAGGACAGACGGTACATTCGCGATTGAATGTGAGCTTGATTCTGTCTTTATTTGGTGTAAGAAGAGGTAATTGACTTTTGCCACAATAAAATGAATAGGAAATTTCGACCTTGCCTCGGTCGCGTCAGCAACCATAACGGGTTTCGAACCCGTGTTGTGTGTGTAACGTGGAAACGTTATTACTTCGCGGCAAAGCCACAAGCGGTATTGGGTAAAAGGGCAGATGCCTCTCCCAAGTCACATGAGTCGCATTCGTAGTTGTCATTAAAATCGAACACCTTTTTAGATACTATATACTACTCATATAGATATATACTTATATGCTATTTTACTCTACTCATAGTGACCCATGTTCTTATTCAGATCTTCGAATAGTTTCGAAACACGCTCATTCTGTTTAAACTCGTGTCTGTTGCATTGTTATTCGCCTTTTGTATGCCCTCAAATGAATCTCTCTTGAGAAGATGACATCGTAAGCACATGAATGCAGATACGAAAAGAAGCCGGGTTTCGATTAATCTTCTAAGATAACATTGTTGGGGGTACTTTCATTTCGTATGAAGGTTCATGCAGAAACTCAGCCCGTTTTCACCCTAAACGAGGGAGGAGGCATCAAACTGAACATCGTATAAAAACCAAACGGCTGCAGTACCACGGGATTCATCCGTCCTCTTCTGGTGAGATCGAACTATGAATCTCTTCTTCATGCACTTTCATTCGAAATGTTAATCCTCCCAACACATGAATGCAGTCAGTTTCTGAGATTTGGCATTTATTTTCATGCTGAATTCCAAATCGGAAGAAGCCTCGGCTAATTTTAGCCGGATTTAGAGGCAAGAATATGATGTTTTTTTCAGTTTATTCTCTACAAACAGGGTAGATAGAATGACTTTGGGATAGTTCCGTGAATTTTCTTGACTCATCGGCTTGACCATTTGGGGATTGCGAAAAGAGGATTGCATTGACTTGACCTCATCTTCCACACCTGACATTCAAGCCTAGTGTATCCATAGCTGCGGGAGCGAGAACATCTGAGCCTACGGGATTCTGATGCGCTCTATTTGCGAACAATTCCGATTTCATCGTGATGGATTGTAACTTTTTTTCCAATTCTCGAGGAACTTGCTGACTGAAATTAGCCAGGCTGGTTTATCAATGAATAATTTAGGAGAAATAAAATCTCTCAGAAGGCTAAACTACAGCTGTAGGATTTATGTACAAATTTTGATCCTCTATTTGCTTCTCAACCGTTTCTCTCATGGCTTACGGCATTCAAGTTGATAAACGGTCTTCGACTATATTATTCTTTTGCCATATTGTATGATAACTCTGTAATCTCTTTGCTTATATGCTAATTTTCCTTAGTACTTGTATGGTTATAATCATGTTAGGGTGAAGACTAGGCTTCTGATTACTTTTTTTCTTCCCAGCTGGAATTTGCATGCTGGGCTGTTGCTCCTCTATTTACCGGGAATCTAGGAAATGGTAAAAACTAAATCAAAAACATACCATGCTATAAGCCAAATAAGATAATGCCATAAAAATCTGCAGAAACCGTGATTATTCTCATTTGTACTTTCCGCAAGTAGTT